TATATATATATATATGGGTTACGTGATACTGTCAGTTGGACGTTTTTTCGATACTCTGATAAAAAGTGACAGCGATATAAATACAAGTGCGAAGTCTTCGAGAACAGCACAGCAATGCCGGCCGGAGTTTGACGGATGTCCTAATTTCTGGGACAAGAGAGGCGTCAGTGGAGAGAACAGTGCTCACCATCCATTTCAATGCTGGACTTGGCTGAATCGCCGACCATTCCCCACAACTTCCAATCATATCTCATCTTTCCATCATCTGAAGCACTTTGCACGCACTCAAAGAATCGAACATGCTCATCGCTGCATGCCAAAAGCAGAAGGTACGGGGCCTTGCATGTCAAATAGAGATTTGAAGATGGAAGATGGCCCACTGACGGTTCCGCCGAGATCACCTGAAATAAAAAAAAATCTCTCCTTTTCGAACCTCGAATATAGATGCCGATGTTCCCCGACACTTTTTACATTTACTAAGCATACTAAAAAACCCACCGTAACTCCAGGCGGTATCGAAACATCACCATCGTAAACTAATTTTGTCTTAAGTTGAAGTATGCTGGAAAAATTCTCATCGCCACTATCAGCAGCATTAGCAACAGCATCCCTGCCATTCGCATTTGCCATCCCATTTATTAGCACTGCTTTGCCACAGCTCCCTTGAAAAACAAAATGTCAACTGAGTCAGCCTAAATTTACTATTTTAATGCGTTTTGTGCTGTGTAACAGCATATTGTCACGGGGCTGTCTGTGTGTATGTGTGCCCACAATAACTTGTGCGCAGCCTTCAACTCGGGAACCACAAAAGCTTGGACGCTGAAAATTTAGGGCAATGTCCTCCACCCACGTGTGACAACGCAAATTTAAATTCAGCCTCGCCGTACCCGTGGGTAACACGTGCGGCACCGTAAAAGTGTTGGCAGGGAAGATTACTAATTTTGGAACCACGGAAGCTAGGAAGCTAAAATTTTAGGATGATGCCCTCTACTAACGTATTATCCTGAAAATTTGGACTCAGCCTTCACGCAATCCTGGATACCACGTATGACCCAGGAAAAGTTTTGGTAGGGAAATTATTATCTCATGAACTGCAAAAACTAGAAAGCTGAAATTTTAGCGTGACATTCCCTGCCCACATACAGCTCCGCAAATTTCCAGTGCTCCCATGAAAGCTTTGGCGGGAAAAACTATTATCTTGGGAACCAAAAGAGCTAAGAGGCTGAAAATTTCAGGAGGATGTTTCCTGCCTAAACAGGGGCTTCACAAATTCGAATTCAGTTCCTAAGTATCCCGAGCTCTCATGCACGAATACGTGAAAGTTTTGTCCGAAAAAATCAAAAACCAGAAAATTAGGAAACTGAAATTGTGGAAGGATACTCACTCTTCACGTTCCAAATTCAGCTTTCACGTACCGGTGCTGAACTTTTCCAGTGAGGAACTCCGCAACTTAAGAAACAGACAACATTCCAACTATTTTTACATAGACTAAAGTGCAAAGAAGTGAAAATCATTGGCAAGCAATCATTGGCGGTGGACGGAATTGCACAAAACGCATGATCGCACCGCCTGCCTTGGTGTGCGCCGCTATTTATTTTTATGTACAAGCCTTACTCCACTCCACCCCAGGAACAAAATCCTGCTCGATATCAGAGCCAGGAAGCGCTGACGCAAAATGGACCTTTCGAACCAGGAAGCGGGAGAATGAAATGCACAAAATCCGGTAAACGATAACCAAATTTGATCAGCAAGGATACAAAATTTAATCGCAGAGGTGCAGTGTCTACGAAAGTTAAGACATTAAACTACCGAGAAG